TATTAGTTCCAGAAACATTTTATTTTCGAGTTAAGTTAAACAATGATCTAATATAATTGTTACACATAAAGTTTATTTCATATAATACTTTTTTCTTCATCCTCATCATCAGTCTGTTTCATCCACTGACTTTATGTTTGATCTGATTTTCTTTTTAACTTCACTCAGTAGATTTGATGAAATTAAAGATATTTTGTCTCATAAATTACTTTAATTTCAAAACTTGTCTGAGTTTTTCTGCTGAATTTTTCAAGTATTGAACATTTCTAAAGTGAAACTGAGTTTAAGGAATAAAAGCAAATAAAATATTGTACATTAGAATGAATCTACACACGTTTTAAGACATTTAAAACTATTATTTTATCACTTTGTTTCTGATGTTTTGATCATTTCAGTTTTTTGTAAAGAGTCCTCACAGCGGTTCATACATCTACACAAGTCTTTGTTGGACCATCGACGACAATAAGCTGACAACTGTCTGAGCAAACAGATGAATCTTGTCTTTTTGTTTATACTGCTGTGTCCTCCTGCGCTCCCACCCACACTGGTACTTGTTCCTGTCCTGAGCCGTTCTCCAGTGGGAGTAAAAACCTTTAAACCATTTGGTTTGACCGTACAGTGGCTCATGCACATCTTTAAACTCTTTTTGAGGCTTTTGAGGACCGTTCACTGCAGTGTGCTCAGGGTAAACAGTCCTACACTCCTGTCAGTCAGTCCTTCACACACTCACTGACCAAACTTACACAGCCAGAACAGCTGCTTTCAGCTGGATGTAATTAGTTCCACATGCAAACCCGTCATGACTAAATGATGCGATGTGCAAGAAGCCGGCACGTCTAGAACAAACAGTGAAGTGGTGGTGTCACCAGGTGTCGCCAGGTGTCACCAGGTGTCACCAGGTGTCACCAGGTGTCACCAGGTGTCACCAGGTGTCACCAGATGTCACCAGGTGTCACCAGGTGTCACCAGATGTCACCAGGTGTCACCAGGTGTCACCAGATGTCACCAGGTGTCACCAGGTGTCACCAGGTGAGACCAGGTGTCACCAGGTGTC